AGCTTTGTGGATAACAGGTGGACCGTATTACACCTGAGCGAGTGCAGAGAGAGAAAGAGAGAGATTAGCATGGTGTGGGAGATGCTGGGAAAGAGAGAAACATAAAGAAAAGGACTGTAAACAAGACCAAGCAATAAGGAGTTTTGTCTCAGATGTTTCTCCTAAAAATCATTGAACTAGAAACATATATAAGAGCTATGAAATTACACTATAAAAAAATGTCCCCCAAAGATGTAAATAAAACAAAGATTATTAGAATATTTTTTTTTACATGTAATTCAGTGTTACTTGCCATTTATTTGTAATTAATTATAACAATGTCTGAGTGAAAACTGTTATTACACTATTTTTTTAGTTAATGTGCATAGCATAGCTCAAATAATTCTAGAAGAATAAGATGAGAAAATATGTAGATTTAAATTTTACCCCCTGGGGTCGACAGCCATGCCGGCATGACCAGCTCGCTTTATTTTATTTGGAAATAATATAGTAATAATTTTAATTTGTAATGCTTTAGGGGGCATAGGAGATTGTATACAAAAGATTTTTCAGGAAAGTATTGATCATGGTAATGGTGCAGAGTCCTTAGAAAACTATGTGTCATACATAAAGTATTATAGGGTTAAAACATAAGTAGCCTCGAAACAGCTTTGTTAGCATTGCTAGCATAAACAATTGAGATACAAAAGAAATCTAATTTGATACGGCGGTGGTTCCAGAGGGTTGATCACCCTGATCTAATGTAAGACCGCTGATCGTGTCTTGGCTGATCTTACAGCATCATCAAATTCAAAATCGATTAGCCTCACAGGAGCAGAAACTAATTAGTAGCACATCCCATTCAGGCCTGTTGCTCGGTTACGCACACTCTTCGCATGTTAATGCGGCTCCTCATCTACCTGTTCCTCACGCAAGAGCTCATGTGGGTAAAACAGAAAGGAGATGAGAAGATTCTGCTGACAGCAAATTTGTACGTCAAAACACATTAATGTAAGAGGTCTCTTCGCATTCAAGAAAGTGAGAGGGTGTTTTAAAGGAGAGAAACATGAAATGGTAGGGTCTGTTTGCTTGCAGTTTTTCTGAGGAACCTCAAAGGAACTCCCTGAGGAGGGCCTGGTTTCCATAGCGAGCAAAGAAGGCAAGATGTTCCTGAGCAGCTGGAGTTAGATTAACCCTGAGGTTTACGTCCCCTTGGCATCTATAAAGCTCTCGGATATTCAGTTTGAAATGTTTGTAAGATCCAAAATCCTTCGCTGTTTTAGTCTACCATGGAAAAATGTGCTTTATTGAAGAATGTGAAAAATAGGGCCAAAGTTAGAGTTAAAGTTTTGGGATTTAGTTGCATGTTTAATACCATTAAATTTATTTACATTTAACTCCCTTAAATGATCTAGACAGATAGATAGATAGATAGGTAGGTGGCATTTGCACCAATGAGACCACCTTCGCACATTTGTGTGTGTGACAAAGAGAGGGATAGAAAAAGTGTAAGAGTGTGTGTGTGTTTGTTGTCCTATTGCCCTAGTCTTTCTTCCCCACTGCTGGCTGTCGGAGCAGCTGTCGAAATGGACAGGAAGGACTAAAGGGCATGGACCTGCTTGAGCTCATTTATAACAATGTGCAACTTCAGGCAGTTAGAGTCCCGGCGTCCTCTGTCTTAAAGGGGTCATCGGATGCCCATTTTATATTAGTTGATATGATTCTTTAGGGTCTTAATGAAAAGTCTATAATATACTTTGGTTAAAATTTCTCATTGGTAATGTAAAAAACACCCTTTTTACCCTGTCAAAATGAGCTCTGTTTTTAGCAAGCCATTCTAGTCCATTTTGCTTTAAATGCTAATGAGCTCTGCTGACCCCGCCCCTCTCTTCTGTGGGGCGACGAGCAGTACTGTTTACTTTAGCCGCGAAACTTGCTTACTAGCACATATTAGGAAAGGCGATTTGCAAAGATTCATAAAAAAAAAACATATACTCACGTCTTTTGTAGATGAAGCTCGATCAAGAATGATTCGCACAAACATAGACGCATTTAGGCAGATCGGGGATCGGCGCATTCCCTTCAAAACGAAAGTAACGTTAATCCTCTGCGTCTTCAGCGGCTCAGATGTCGGGAGTAAATGACGACTGCTATGTTCATTATTACATCCAACAACAGAAGACCTCAATCGCTTAATCGGAGACATTCTTGTCTTACCCTGCACCGGAGTCAACACAATGGCGGACAGCTCACTCAGGGCTGGTCTGAAGGTAAGATGGACTTGTCAATCAACTATCGTGGGAGCGGCCTGTGCAGAACTACGTCATTCTGACAGGAATCTCAGAACAGCCTGATTTGAGAAAGGGGATTTTAAAATCCACTGGGTGGATTTTTATCTTTATAGGATGGATGTGTACACACACTTCCAACACGCATTTATGTTCAAACAACAACAAAAGTGAATTTTGCATCCGATGACCCCTTTAAAACACTTCCTCATTACTTCACTTCCTGTACGATTCAATAACTTCTGTAAGGAACAAATAATACATTGCAAAATGTGCCATGCCACGCTTAAGGAATGAAAGATTATGCTATATTGTATAATATGTGGTGTTACACACTGTATTAGCACACCTCATGTACCAGACAGCTTTTACAACAGTTTCTACATAATCAAAAGTTTTAAGGACTCATTAAAACTAGATTTTAAGCTAATTCTGCCCTTGACATGGATAATAGTAAGCTTCAACAGGTGCTGCTAACAGTTTTGCTACAAGCTGTTTAGCTGTGTATTTTACATTTGTAATTTATTAACTCTGTCTTGACCAGTTAGCATCTAGCATCTATCCATTTTAAAATGTACAAAAACATACTGAATCTAGTCCATATATCCTAACTGTGCGAGAACGCCTGCTATCATTACTTAATACATGTTAGCATGTTGCAAGGCTAACAATGTGGTACTCTAAACATAAAAATACATAGTATACACCAATATTGTGTAAAGTTACTCTCAACTTCTTCAGTCTGCCATTTTGGATGATTTAGACCCCCCCACCCCCTGAACTCGTTGTAATGACTTCTGGGTCTTCTTAGAATTCAACCGAAATGAGTAGTAAAAACAGAAAGAAACATAATAATGTTGGTTTCCTATTTCAAATCTTTGTTCCCTTAAAATGCTGTATAGTTAGGCAGCATGCTTGATTTTGGAGCAGCAAGTATGTATGCAGAATATTACTAAGGCACAATTTTTGAAGTCTTGCTCTTCTTTGAGACCCATTTGAATGTGAAACGGGCTTTGAACTGGATTGAATTGTTCGGCCACAATAAACCGTTCCAGCTCCTCTGTAAGACCCACATAGCCTATTCCTTCCAGGAACTCGCTATTTTGTTTTCTTCCCTAAATCCTTTTTGTATTGACATCCTTACACACATACACACATGCGTTCTCCTCAGACAGACTGGATCCAGTCGGCTTGAAGTATTTGTGTGCGAGCTGTAAGGTACATTGTGTTAGAAACATTATGCCGTCATGTAAATAAATTGATGTTCACTTGTTCTGGGAAGGGCCCTATTTTTATTTTTTATTTTTTGTTAACTTCTGCAATCCTGACATCTAGGGGTAGAAAAGTAACACTACTTTTTTGGCAGGTAACAACCTTGACTAAACAATTAGATTCTGTAATAATTCCCCAATAATAACAATAACAGTAAACATTCTTCAAAATATTGTAATTATTCTAATAAATATACATGTACATTTGTTTTTTAAACGTCTGTGTATATATCAAAAAATCACGTGTATAATAATAAATAGAATGGCTGAGTGTAAATAAAATATAAAAGTCAATAAAAATCTATGTAATTACAAAGGCAATATAAATTATAATAAAATTAAATATGTACATTTGTTTTTTGATTTGTTTTATATACATATTTAGAAAGTGTTATTATATATATATATATAGGTTCATATATATATATATATATATATATATATATATATATGCGTATGTATATACATGTATGTGATTTATATGATTTTTTCCCCCACAGAATAACAACAGTAACAACAATAATAAACAACTTGAAATGAATAACGTATTATGCAACTGTAGTAAATTTGAGTTTTATATTCACAAATACATTCTCTCTCTCTCTCTCTCTCTCTCTCTAGAATGTCAGTCTGTTTCTAGTTCTTCCTAATCTGACATGCTCTCTTGATTGTATATCAATCTGAGTCTGTGTGTTTCTCCCTGTGGACTTCAATGCAATTACTCACATCTGAAGCAGAACACACATGCACATGCACCTATAAACACACACACACACAGAGAGAGAGAGAGAGACATGTTATTCCCACCACCTTATACATACACACACACACACACACACACACACAATATTATTTTTAATATCTCAGGCATCAGGCATGTTACTTCATGACTGGATTTTAATGATCTGCTGACAACTACAACTGTAGTTACAGTTTAAAAAATATTTATGTAAACATTATTTTATATAGGTTGTTATACATATATTTTACACTAGGTGTCAGCAGACTCACAAAACTTTTTTTTTTTTTTAACAATGTATTTAGTCTAATGAGCGAAGATATCTCACCATAATAATAATTAAAAAATGTCAAATTGTAATAAAAAAAAAATACATGTCACAATTGAAATTTTTAAATCATAATTACAATCTTCAGACCCTGAAACTAATATAAAGTAATATTAGTAATATTATACAATATAAACTAATAATAGTTCTATATATAAAAAAATAAAAATATTACAATATTAGTTTAAATATATAAAAGCGAAAGCATTAAACAGTTTTATTTTGTACATTTATTTTTTTCTTTTTTTTTTCTTTTTGCTTTACATGGAGTGGCTTTACATGCAGTGTTGTGAAGTGACTTTATGAACTGGCGTCTCCGTGCTTCTGCTTCCCTGTGTGGGAGGAGTTCACACAGATTTGTATTCCTCATGCACACTCACAGACAGCAGCAGCAGCGCTTCAGTGTGAGGCAGAGCACAGCGGGGAAACCTCCATCTACTCTCACTATTGGCTTGTTTTTATCACCACTGAGGAAACGCCTCGCTCCCTGACCTTACTGTCTTGGATTTATGCTGTGTGGGAAAGAAATCTGATCAGGCTTTTCATAAACATACAGAGGAGATAAACGGAGGTCTGCGGTCTGCAGCACAACATATCATCTGAAAACAGGAGGAGAACCCAACGCCCTTTCCAGACCGACCATGCATACCTGCCTGGGTTGATGTGTAATTGAGATTGAGGATGCTTTTATGGGTTTGCATGGATAAGCATGGACTGTTGACACATTGAGGTGCCTCCTGTGCATGTTTCATGGATCGTTTTACGGGATCATAACCTGGTGGTTTTTCCTTCTATCTCAAAGTCATCAAGTTTGGAAGCTGAATAACCAATGAATCGGGAGCCTGGAAGCCTCAAGCTGGTCTTCAGATGCTTGTAGAGGCAAAGATAGGCGAGGCTGCTATGTGATTTATTGATTGTTACACATTCATCATAAGATGGGGAACGGTTTCTCCAACATTGCAGCATTCCAGTCCCTGCACATTGTGATGCTCGGATTGGATTCGGCCGGTAAAACCACTGTACTGTATCGGTTAAAGTTCAACGAATTCGTCAACACCGTTCCCACCATTGGCTTCAACACTGAGAAGATCAAGCTCAGCAATGGCACTGCCAAAGGCATCAGCTGTCACTTCTGGGACGTTGGCGGGCAAGAGAAGTTAAGACCCTTGTGGAAATCCTACAGCCGCTGCACGGACGGTATTATTTACGTGGTGGACTCCGTAGATGTTGACCGACTTGAGGAAGCCAAGACGGAACTGCATAAAGTCACCAAATTCACGGAGAACCAAGGAACTCCTCTGCTGGTGATTGCAAACAAGCAGGACCTTCCCAAATCCCTGACGGTCACCGAGATCGAGAAGCACCTGGCGCTCCATGAACTGAGTCCTTCCACTACGTACCACGTCCAACCGGCTTGCGCCATCATTGGTGAGGGTCTCCATGAAGGAATGGACAAACTATATGAGATGATCGTCAGACGAAGGAAATCTCTTAAACAGAAGAAGAAGCGATAGACAATTGCAGACTTGTAGAGACATTTAAAGGGATAGTTCACCCAAAAAGAACAACTCTGTCATTTACTTACCCCTCATGTTGTTTCAAACCTTTATGACTTACTTTTTTCTGTTTTTGTCCATACAATGAAAGTCAATGGGGTCCAAAATGAACATGTGGACCCCACTGACTTGCATTGTATGAACAAAAGAAACAGCCATTTTTCAAAATATCTCCTTTTTGTGTATTGTATAAGAAAGAATGTTGTACAGGTTTGGGACTACGTGAAGGTGAGTAAATGATGACAGAATTGTCATTTTTGGATAAACTAAGTGTTGCCATTAAAGACATGACGGGTTTTACCTTGGTGTGCGGGATTTGGTAACACTTTATAGTAACTTTCATTAATATCATTTTGCTCAACAGATCTTTAGTTAATGCACATTCATAGTGTCTGAAACATTTATATGTTTGCACATTTGAATCTACATGAACTCTTGATCTGGTAAAGGCGATAGCTTAAATACAAAGACTAAAATAAAGGATAAAGAGTAAAATAAAAGAATAGAAAATGAAACATTTGCTGTTTTTTGCAACATAGCAACTTTGCCTCAATCAGTGGCATGAGTTTGGGGGCAGGGCTCTCTGTTTGTCCAACTAATGGCAGACAAGTTCGGGGAAACCTGTTGGAAAACAGTCATTATTTTTGCAATTCGGTTTTGGTGCTGCTTGTTGTGCAGAAATTACACACTTTAAGAATGTTTCTTATTGAAGTTTTTGTTGAAAGTTACTATAATGTGTTACTTAAGATTAAAAAAAAAAAGAAGAAAAAAAAATACAAGTGCTAAATAATATGCTTACATATAGAACCAAAAACTTAAATAGCAAGAAAATATAGAACTAGTCAATAATTTAAAATGCATTAAAATAAGAGAAAAAACAATGGGCTGGACCCATGTTGCTGCTTGATATTAACTCCATAAATATCGATAATAATCATAGGCCTGTGCTTTGAAGAAACCCATATACGGAGACTACTTTTGCTATGACGTCATTCCTTAAACTGAATGCCCACATGCACCTATATGTAAATTTAAACGATTCAAATGATAATTTTGTACATTTATTTTGCTCTTCTTGCATAATAGCAGCACATTTAACCATATAGTTTCTGCTGCACCGGCGTAGTTTGTTTTCCTTTTTTTTCTGTCTTTCTTTTTAAAATTCGGTGCCCTACAGGCCTTGACCATGACCTATGGAAGCTTGTTTCCACCACAGAATAAAAAAAAAAATACAACTTTAAAATTACTTTTTTTTTTTTTCTCAAATAGTTTTTTCTCAAATATTCTGAAATAAATTCAGATTTGCGAGATATGAATTTAGAATTCTGAGAAAACCGACAAAATTGTGAGATATAAATTCAGTCTGAGTTTCTGAGTTTATTTCTCGCAATTCTATGTTGTTGTTTTTTTTGTCTCAGAATTGCGAGAATTCCTTGGCTGAACTGGGCTCCCATATTGACCAGATACATTTCTTTTGCATAAATGCTACTTTGAACTACAATCAGAGATTGTTGTATTATGAAACCATGTAGTGAAATGAGACTGTTTATGCACATGATGCCAAAAATATTCGAAATAAATTATACTCCAATATACATAACGTGTAGCATTCTGTTGGTGTGCAACCTGACCTAAACACTTCAGAAAAGTCTGCATTCAGCATTATCACGGGCGGCGAGCCTGTTTTCTGTGATTACAGTTGCAGTTTGGTACAACAGCCATCACCCATAATTCCCTGAGCTGTCAGATCTACATGATTTCACAGCGCTGGACGACGCAAATCCCTTTGATTTAGCTCCAGGCTGGCCGAGGCCCACACGTGCTTGCGTTTGAGCGTGGCACACTCTCGGGACCGGGATAATGACCCTTTACTGCTCAGCGAGATTGAAAATGGATATTAATAGGAGAATTCACCCATTGTGTAATTAGAATAAGCCACAGTGGGGCGGAAAAAACCCTCTGATGGGGGTGTGACTGTCTGGGGTGTAGAGGCGCGCAACACAACACCTGCTGGGTGCGCATAAACACAGATGTATACACATATACACATGGAAACATAGTGTGATTTTTAAAAAAATACTAAATTAAGTACTTTTACCATGTGGTTTTAATGAGAATTAGCTTTCTTTTTAAAAGTTTGGATGCATGATCTGTCACGCTGCACTGTGGTGCAGTTTTAAGAAATCACTCGCAATTTAGAAAACACTTTTAGTCTTAGAGAGGCCTGTAATATTTTTAAATATTATTACAATTTAAAATAACTGTTTTCTATTTTAATATATATTATATATTTTAAATATTTTAAAATGTAAATTATTCCTGTAATTTGGTGCTCAATTATTAATGATTCCTATAGAACAGTTTTTACTGCTTAATAGTTTTGTGGAAACAGTGATACTTTAAATATTTATATTTTTATATATATATATAATCAGAATTTAAAATAACGTTTTTCTATTTTAATATATTTTAAAATGTGAATGATTCCCCTAATTTGGTTCTCAATTATTAATAATGGTTCTTATAAAACAGCTTTTTACTGCTTAATATTTTTGTGGAAACCGTGATAAGTTTTTATTTTATTATTATTATTTTCTTTACAAATATAACACTTTTGTTATGTTATAAATGTCCTAATGTCTTTACTGTCACTTATGATAAATTTAATGCATCATTGCAGAATAAAAGTATTACTTTTTTTAAATGGTAGAATATCATGTTTTTTAATTTAAATTTAATTTTAATTCGTTTAATTTAATTTGAAGTAATTAATTTTAATTTTAATAATATTTTATTTTTAATAATGTTTTACATTTTAATAGTAACATGGTTTTTAAATTTTAATTGTAATAATATTTCACAATATTACTAATGTTACTGTATTTTTGATCATATAATGCAGCCTTGATGAACATAAGAGACTTATTTAAAAAAAAAAAAAAAAAAAACTATTGGAAAAAATCTGAAAGATATAAAAAAAAAAAAATGAATACATAATAGTACATGTCATTATCTTTGAACAAAAATATATTTTTAAAAAATGTATGAAACCTACCTCAATACAAGATGATCATGAACTAGACTTATATTTCTCTTTTTTATCATCCCAGACATCCTCTTTTGTCATTGACCCATAAACCAACATAGCTAAAATCTGCTGCTATATCTGTACTGCTTCCTCTTACATCTCTTTCACAATCACAGTAAGTGTGTGTCATAATTTCAGCCACATTAATTACCTGTCATCTAAATGAACCCGGCCTTGAGTGTGAAATTCTGTGAAGATTGGAAAGGTACGTCACAGGATGAAAGACTGGCTCTGAATAATCCAGAAACCCACCGAGGCGACAGGAAAGATGATAGATAATTCATCTCAACGTCCACCTTCCTAAAAACCCATGCTGTGGGAATGACAGGCTTTTTTTGGAGCAGGTAATGGGGTCCTATAAATAGAGCTTAATAATTAATGTGGCACCCACTGGAAATTCTACGAAAGGCCAGAAAATGGGACGCTCAGCGCCGCTTGAACAGATAGTGTTGGACAGTCCAATGTGTTCCAATGCGTGATTTATTTTTTTTATTTGTTTACAGTGAACTTACTGTGAATTGGTCATATTTTGTTGTCTTATTTTACATAAAGGCGGGGATTATGCATAATTTTATTTATAGAAATGCAGATAAGGAAATATCTCTGTTCCTAGGGAAACTATCTGATGTCATCAGTAAACAACACTTAAACAAGACTCATGTCAAGACTGTTACCAGAAACTGGCAGAGAAATACAAAAATAGGTGTAAAACATTATTTTGATGCATTTGTACCATGGTAACCATAGTTCACAGTACCTACTATTAAAGTAAAACCATAATATATGAATATGGGATCTCTTGACATTATATGTACATGTATATGTGACATTGTTTGCAAATATTTTATTGCATTGATTATGTTTTTTAATTCATGCTGAATAAATATGCGGCTTTCATGACCGCAAATGCAATAATAAAATGTTAAAATAATAAATAAAAAAAGATATCAATAAAAAGTAATGCAATTAAGGTCATGATGAATTAATAAAATAAAATAAACAAAATTAAAATGTATGGCTTTCAGTCATGTCTGCTAATGTAATGCAATATATAAAAGGAGTAAAATAAAATAAATCACAGTAAATAAAATAATGCAAATCAAAATAACAAAAAGAATAAAATAAAAATAAAATAATTAAATGTAATGCAATAAAAAATAAAATTGCAACGAATAAAACAACAGGTAAAATAAAATAAAAATATTTAAAATGAACAATAAGCGTATTATATACACTTATTTTGTATTATTCTGTGTTGAAAGGATTAAATGTTTATTTTTACATGCCAAACAGACGCAAAGACAGACATCCACTTTCTTTAATTACATACTACACGTTAATATATACAATCACATTGTTGAGATGAAGGATTTATTGCTATTTGAACTCTCTTCCTATACAAACAAGTTATTAAAATGCCATTTGTTACTGTAAACATGCAGCCAACACAAATTGTATGTTTTCTTGGACCAGAGGAGGACTGCTAAAAGTGAAACTCAAAATGGTCATGAAGGAGCAGGGGAAATGGTTTCTGTGTGTTTGAGAGAGAGAAAAAAGAATATCTATTTGGATCATATCGAAGGATTCGTCTAATATTAAACCCTATTTCCTGTACGCCTCTATCCCGGTTTTCTGGGTGAATCCGTTAAGCTTTCAAAATACACCTGGAGAAGCAACTTTGCAGTCTTTGTGACTGAAATATTTGGAAGTTTGTTACTCGTCATGACATGCCTGCTCGTGATTCCTGTCTTTTTGTACGACACCTGTTTTTACCGCTCTTTGCCTTCCACCTTTAATCTCTTTGTATCTCCTTGTTCTCTTCTCCTCCAAGCGTTGTCTTTCTCTGTCCGCTCACCCACTTTTAGACTCGGCATTCTGCAGCGAAATAGATTGAAATAAATGGAGACGTCTACGGTAGCAGAACAGATGCTCTCAGAAACGG